CATGATTTAGATGCAAGGTCACGTTAAGCTTTCTGGAATTCGATATGCAATTTCGAATGTTGTATTACGGGATTAATTGAAAGCTGGCTGGATGCGGGAATGCGCGTTAATTGTTTCCCGCCTTCGATAGGGACCATACACGTCGAAAATTTGCCTCGTTTATAGTATATCGTATTAATGTATATAAGGGAAATGAGATTTTACTAATAAAAAAATTATATGTTTAATTATCATATTGTCCATAGAGCCTATTTACTTTGTGATCAATACATGTATAGAGAGAAGAGGGAGAAAGAGAAAAGTGTCGTTTTCTATTATTTTACACCCAGCTCGAATAAATCTAAGACAGTGTTACGTAAAATAACATTTGGCAGTGTTTCAGATCGGTCAGTTTAACATATGTTTTCGTTGAAGGCCGAGAAAATTTCGTACAATAGATTCAACAATTTTAGAATGAGTGGAATTTTATCAATTTATATTTCGAACTTCTTAGTTTTTTTCTTGGCCAAATTTTTGTATGAGAAATTTTGTAAATAAAAGAAAGATTTACTAAATAAATTCGGAAATTTTCAGATATTTTTTTGACCTGAAAAAATCATAAAATGATTACGTCACGTTAGAAAATCTTTCAATCGATTAATATTTGGCATTATGGTTTTTATGCTCTTGTTTTTCTTTAGATTTATCGTAATCTTTTTAATTTTATATCAGCCTCTTACGAATATTTCAAAAGACTTATTAATTTCCGAAATGAAAATCAGGAAAACCAGGAGTAGACGAAATTTAAGTAATGAAGGCGGAAACGACGAGCGGCATAACCTTCGTTAATTGAATAACGTTGCGCTCTCGCGTACTTAGAAAAGTACCTTAGACGTGTTACCCTCCTTCTCTCCTGTTTCCTTGCTCATCTTCATTACCTTCCCATTTCTTGTTCTCATCTCGGGTTCCTTCTCTGCCATTTCTCTCGTCTTCGTAACGTAACGAGACGATGAATTGTCGGTGCGTCTGCTTAACAGAATACGAATGAGCTTTCTTCGTCGAGAAATAATTTTCATACAATGTCAGGTCGATTTGCGGTTGAATATAGATTGGAAGTATGACAGTTAATTAAAAGCAACGAAATATACTTATTATATCCTATTTACTATCTTGGGGCGTTTTACGAATTTGCATAATTGAACGATATTATACAGAAATCAATTAATTCAAAAGTTAAATAGATACAAATGTTATGTACACAACTAGGTAAATGTAATTCTCTGCATTCTAGATTCTAGCTATTGAAATTACTTGGCGAGTTGCTTATTTTTGCACAATATTGTTCATTGAGAAAGAGTAAAGAGCATTAATCGCATAATCCTAGACAGGATTCCGCGAGCAATTTAACATCGATATGTGCCGGGTCAGCCTCGGAGTTCACGTGCTCATCACAAGTCTACGGTAGACAGATCGAACAGCTGACGTCTTAGCGCAGCCTGTCTCGTCGCACGCTGCGTCGCCTACCTTGCCGTCTGTCTCCGAAATTCGCCACGGGGGTTACCCAGGCATGACGTAGATGTACGCTATTTTGGTCAGCTCGTGACGTCGTCCTCGGGACGTCCAGAAATAAACTCAAGTAGTAAGGTGCTGGCTTCGTAGCCTCTCTGTCTCTCCGATTATCTTTCGTTTTTTCCTTCTTGATCTGAACGAGATACCATTTAACGATTATTGTATTATCAATGAGTACATCAATAATCTGTGGAAAATTTTAATTTTGCGCCAATAAACAAATGATATGATTGAATGCAAAGAGTTTTAAAACCATACTTTGTGGATATGAAGATTGAAGATAATCGAAATTAGGTCAAACGTTTAAAACTCTTTTCGACATTACATCTTTTTCGAGCTTTGCATCACATTGCATATCGCGAAAGTTTCGTCTGACCTGATTTAGAGATTATGCGAAAACGTAGATTTCATAGCGACGAGCGCTACAAGAAAAATCTCTGGACGACGATTTTGCCTTGCGATGTTTTCAAGGCCTTTTATTCCCGCTGTCGTAAAATCGCATTATGCTTCCCAATAGCGGACGGGCGTTGCCAATCGATTTACCCGATTGAGAAATGGGAAAAAAGTTCGCTGTAGCGCGATAAATCTTGGTCGTCTATTTTCTCCCAGCTACTCTTATGTAGTCGTTTTTCTCTTAGTCTCGCGGTTAATAGTTCGAGATCCATTTCAGCACACTTTCACTTTCCCTTTCGTTTTATTTATCACGATAAATTTTAGGTTTTTTAACTTTGAAATGATAGATTTTTGATCATTTAATCTCGTTCGCTTAAAATATATTATTATATAATAATGCAATGTATAGAGTTTGATTATATTTTTATATAATAAGTATAGAGATGTTATATAATATGTATAGAGCTTGATAACATTTTTGGAAGAGAAATTCAAATAAAATATACATTAAATACATTGAAGAAACTTTCCTTTCTTCTAATATCACTGAAAAAGATATTATTAAGCAAAAGAATTAAATAAACAAAGAGCTTTCCTCAGGCGATTGTTTGAGTGCATACTAGATTCGAAGAATATTACGTTGACTATGAGCACAAATAAGAAAAATTTAATTAGCGTTCTGCTATTCCGTTTTTCTCTCCTCTTGGATAATGAAGTAACGCAGCCAGCCAGCTGGCCACTTGCGGGTACCGGAAGAATGGGTACAGGTAAGTCCGGAAAATGGTTGGAAGAACGGTGGCCGTTGGTACACTGCGACTTTGCTTTATTTTCCTTTTTTCTTTAAAGTGGATCTCGCTCCCGAGAACGACGAACGCTTTTTCGCGGCTGGCTGCATCAAGCCGGCTTCTTCTTCCTCTTCTTTACCTTTCTTTCGCTCTGATCCTGCCTTTCCCTGCGTCTTTTCTTCTTCTTCCCTTTATTGCGTTTTATGTCTCCCTATCTCTGAAGTACCTGACATAAATATATTTCCGTACAGCAAACGGCGTCTTTAAACTTCGCAACCCGCATTCCACGCGCATTTATCCCTCGTACAAACGTGAGTGAGTTTCTTATCCGTTAAAATATTTTTTTGTGTATTTCTGTAACAATCATAAAAGCATCTATAAGCTAAGAACAGATAGGATTGAATTTGATAATAATAATTTTTTATCTTTTCTTTTTAATTTTGTATAAAGGAAAAATATAAATATAACATATATATATATTTATATATATATATATAATAATTTTTTATCTTTTCTTTTTAATTTTGTATAAAGGAAAAATATAAATATAACATATAATAACACACTTACTTAATTGGTAATTTAATGTTATATATAAATCTAGTATTTATATATACTATAAATTATTATTTTTATATAGATTGTATAAAATATGGAATATTAAATAAAAATGGAATCGATAAATAAAACAAAAAATTATATGTTTACGTATTTCTGTTTTTAAAAAAGTATTAGATTAATCAAAATTATTTTTTATGACACTTAAATTGATAAAACAAAAATACGATCAAATAACAAATGCAAATTTTGTGTATTTAATCCAATAAATTAAATTTTCTTCTTAAACATGTCATACTTTGATTGTATCTGCCGGAATGAATTTAGAATCAAGTTTTTATATAAATCAGCGGTTTATATAAATGCCGATTAACGACTTATTTGATGATAGCAAATTGCTTTTATAACGGTATTATAACGGCTTGCACGGGTTTTATGATCATAATCAGTTTTTAAAAAGTTTTCAACTTTATCCTCTTTATTTTGAGGTCACAATATATTTATCACATAAATGTTTCTTTTTTTAGTGAGTAGTTGATGCAACGAATTTATTTTATATAATCTGACCTATGACATTAAATTTCAATTGAATTTTTCATTTTACTGAAAGTTTAGTTTTTATATTTTTCAAATTGTTCACTTTTTTCCTTAAATAAACTACATTATAAATTATAATTTTAAAGACTACATTATAAATTTCTTAAAGAGACTACGTTATAATTTTAATTGATGAATTCTAAAATATGAGATTGATTGTAATTTCGATCTAACTGACTTATAATTATGTAATTTTATTCGTCGATTTTTTTCAGGTAATTTATTCGTATATTTTATGTTAAATAAAAGAATTTTTAAAAAAGTATCATGATATTCAGGATTTATTTTATCATAAAATGGGTAGTTGATATAGAAATTTACATTTCATAGTCTCATAAATGTAGAAATGTACATAGGTCAAGGTTGTAGGAAGAACTAATCTCACATGCCATTAACTTTTTTGTGACATTTACATGAATGATTATTATCATCTCTTTCGTGATTACATAAAATTTGATGTTAGGTACTTTATATGTATAAATGTTATTTTTTTTATTTATACATTTTAGATACAACATTTATATCAGATTTTTCATGATACATTGCCTTTAATTTCCATAATGTTACAAAATTTATTATTATTATGTTACAAAAAAACTCTTTTATTATGGAAATATCTTTATAAATATTCTTATAATGTGTTAAAGAAAATAATTTTTTAAAGAGATAAAAATACATGAAATTAGTAACAGCTTTTTCAAAGTTAGTGGTGACAAATCAAAATAAAAAAGGTCGATCTTAATCGATCTTCTTTTTCTTCAGTTTCTGTAAGAAAATGGAGAAAGAAGGAGACGATTACGTAGCACCAAGATATAATGTCGTTTCTCTGTGACGTCATCGTTTAATGGGATAGCTACGTAACCTCAGAGGACGTGAAACTAGGTCAGAGGTACAAGCACGGGGCATCAAGTCTACAGTTACACCATTATCTTATTTTCTGTTCTTATTTGAAAACTTATTTTAAAAGAGATAAAAATCTCTGTATCTGTTAAACTACGAAAATTACTTAATCGATATTGTAAAATTGTAAAATGTTTGATTGACATTATTAAAATTATAATTTATTAAGCGAGATATATTTCTAATAAATATTTTATTCATAATTCTTATTTATTACAGGTGAGTCCAATCGCTTTGTCGACTACCAAGAAACTCCTGTAACTATAGGCTTCACACATCGCCCAGCCCGAAAGAATGCAGGTACGATAATATGTCTTACTTGAAAGATGTCATTTGTTTCGTGTAAAATTTATGCTCATCAATTTTTATGCTTTATTTTTTTCGTGTTTTGGTATACATAATAGTACACATATGGCATTGAAATATTATTTAACCGCAAAAATTAATAAATTATAAGATGTGTTTTAAATGTTTGTTTTTGCCGAGCGTTTCATATTTTATCGCGGCGAAATTACTCACGGGAAAAGTCTAATCATAAATTTTTGTAGATAAAAGTAATTATAAAAGTAATTATAATAATTATAAAAGTATAATAATCACATAAAATCACATTTTTTTGCTCTTTGATTGAGCTTTATGACTGTCAATATATACTGTGTAACATTTGCAACTAAAACTATACTATTTTTCATTACAATACAACTATAACGTGTTTGCACATCGTTGAAAGGATATGCTGTCATACAGATAAATTTGAGTGTAGCTATATTATATGACGCTTTGTGTTTTTTTCTATATTGCTTGAGCCTATATTATATTACTTCCGCAAATTTTTCGAGTTTTCTAGATTTATGATTGCTCCTGATTTACGATTGTTTCCTATTTTCTATAGAAAACGTAGATTTTTTAGTTTTATCTTTTTAGTTTTAGTATGCAAATAATTTTTTTAAAAATATAACATTTTTTAATATTTTTTAAAAATCCTATTTATTTCTTGAAATATAAGATATTTTTAGATCTATCTTTTATAAGAAAATTGATTTATGGAATTTTAAGAGAGATTGTTTTTATATTTATCGGTGTATAAAGTGTAGCAAAAGTTACATTCGTTTTTCCAGTCATCGTTGTTGCTCAAATGTGGTGTCATATTTTGCGTTCTTCGGTCAAAACAAGGACTGTCTTTGGTTATTCTTTGATGTATTCTTGCGGAACAGAGTGAGAGATACATATTGTACAGCAGCTGCATCTGAGACACCCGTTGAGATTTCGCTTCGTCGGAGAACAACGGCAACGTTGTCTTTCTTATGATGGGACGGAGGCACGAAGGGAAACTCGAATGGTTATTGAAGGAAATAAGGTCGCCAAAAGAAAATTGCAGACTGTCACGTGAACCATTTCTCATGCTTTGATTCTTTGTTGAGGCTCCTTGCAACACGAATCTAGCAATAAGAATATATTGAGAACTGGATCTTTCGATTTTGCAAAGAATATTGACTTGTATCTCATTATTTTAAATTTTTTTTTATACCAAAGATGAAAATTTTATCAAAAAAATGAATTATATATAGTGTTTCTTTCTCTCTTCTTTGATTATTTAAATCAGATTATTGAAATCAATGGAATAAAATCATTTCAAATGTACTACGTGTCTGCGCATTTGGTGCTTTCTGAGTAATTTCATTTTAAACTTAAATTCATAGGTTTCTGATGTAACTAATTCTTGCAGCGCTATAGCGATGGAGAAAATGCACAGGAAGGTGTATCGTTAAGTGCGTTAAATACGCAAGTAGAAAGGAAGCATTCAACCGCAATTGCTGCTTCTCCGACGAACGATTTTCATGAATATTCATTTCCGCATCCTCTTATGAGCGTCGTAAACATGGTTAGCGCTCTTACACGAAACACAAATTTATACTTTTGTTTCCATAACTATGTGCTTCTTTAATTAATACAATTCTGCTATTTTTAGTTAGATAAAAAATTATCTAACTAAGAGAAAATTATCTAAAGAAAGATATCTAACATATTTTATATAATAGACATCTGTTAGTAATTATTGAAAATATTAATTTATTAAAATAAACTTATCCGTTGTTAAGCTTGATAAATATTTATTCAGAAGAACTATATTTGTGTTACGTATTGATAATAGATGTGAGTGGATTAAAGGTAAAGGTAAAGGTGAAGGTAGGTAAAGGTAAATCAGCAGAGAAGTTAGTAGCCTCTTGTGATAATTTCAAGCCTTTCGATTGTCATGTCAGTGTGCCTTTCTTGGTTAGTGTTCTGCGATGTACCATACCTTCTAACACTAATGCTTTCATCATCCTTGCTTGTTGACCTCCTTCATCGTCAAGGATACTACTCCGAATTTAATTATCTCGTAATCAATTTATTGCACAGCTCTCGTTGAAAAATTGATGTAATTATCGGTCCCAATTTGATTTACAATAACATTTGCGGAATATTAATTTATCGTTATATAATTGCATTTTTCCACAGCTGCATTTATAAAAATTCCATTACATATTCAAAGTAAAGCGAATATGTAGATTGATAAATTCGATAAAATAAAACTGTTAAAAAATACTACAATAATAGCAATAATTGTATCAGTGTATGTGAACGAGATATATGATGAGTGAAATTTTAAATTAATTATTTGTTTCTCGTTTATGAAATTTATACGGCGCTTTTTATTCTGTTAATTCTGTTTAGTCACTGCAAAAAGTAATCTAAAAATAATATGAAATTTTTTTATATGTCGTGGTTATATATCCGGTTATATCTCCGGTACAAGCTTCTTACTATGATTCTATGGGGCTATCTAGCAACGCGAAATATGCGGTAGCGCGTACTCGGGGGTCAGTCGGATCATCGTATTACAGCGAAACGGTACGGCTGCAGTTGCACCGTCGCTCGGACTGCAATCGTGCCACACTGCGGCCTCCTGGACCGAATTACCTGTCAGCAGGGTGTAAATGGCACCGGCTGCTATTGCGCGTAAATCATAGGCGTCGTGCCGCCAAACGTGCGCTTCGTTTTTCCGCAACGGCGGGAATTGAAAATGCGGAAGTAGTCTTGGGACATTTCGAAATACGCTCGCGGATTGCGACATCGGATATCGCGCGTATCTTTCTTTTATTGCTTACAGGATGACAGTAGTATACGCGCGTGCGGACAACTATTCGTTACATTTTTACATGAAATGTGCAGAGATCTGCAATCCACACTCACGATCTATCTACTGTATTAACGTTGTTAGACTGCATTATTTTATTTCTCATCCGTTATTGATGCATCTTTGAGCAGCCTTGTGAGCATATTCGTGCTTAAGGCTTATCAAGCAGACTAAAGCCCTTTGCTGTACCAACAGTTAGGGTCGGGTAAGCCCGGATTAGCGAGTCTCTTTCTTCGCTGCTGCGCTTCCTAGATTATAGTCTCATACCCAAACTATAGAGACGAAGAAAGAAAATTTACTTGATGCAAAGTTGACGCTAAACTAACATTGATGCAACCGATTGCTAATTAAGAATTTCATTAAATTAATCTCGGGCGTATCCTCGTCTATTCTGAAATTTATCCGTCACAAATACTCGCAATCTGAAAGGTCCGACGATGATTACGTACCATCGAAGAAATTAACGAGAGAGGAAACGGAAATTTAAGATCGCATAGCGATTACACTTTACACGTTATATAATGCATGATTAGTAACATTTGTCTCGAAACAATTCGCGAATTCTTCGAAAAAAATTTCTGAACGAGATTGATACATCATTGCGAGGAAGGTGCAATCCGATGCAGCACTACGGCTGCGACCTAAAACGCTGAGAAATCCGCTTTGCTTTCGCAGCACTTTCCTGCCGTCGCTTTTTTCGCACTTCGCGTACCTTATTTAGCTGCCGTGAAAAACTGGAGCACACGGAATTGCTACGGTTTACATAGCATCGAGTACGTGGACCGGCGTGAGAATGTCGCTATACAGAAATACATATGACGGCGGAGGAATGCGATTTGCAGCTGCGGAAATTCGTGGCGTGATATAACGAAGTAACGTATAAAAATAAATTTCTTTTTATGTTTTCTTTTTTTTTTACGAGAAAATAAGGATGTAAAATAAGCGCAGTACTTCCCAGTAAATGAATATACTTGCATAATCAAGCTATACTAATTAATAGATATCGATTAATTAATTAATATTTATTTAATCACGAGGAAAATAATAAAGATATTCGACTGAGTCTGATGTAATCGAGGAATAAATGATAATTAATCGAAAAGCTTAACTTTATACGATTAGTTCTTATATGCATCAAATTTTCGATTAATTCATTATATTGTAGATTGATTAAGCGGACGCAAATATGAAATGGTATCGTTTTTTATGAAAGCGGATTTCGATTAATGGCATACGAAATACCGGGATTTTAAATGTTACATATTATGAAGTGTTTGATGAAGAGTTATTGAATCATGTTCAAATAATGCTATTATTCATAATGTAATTTTAATTATAAATTGAAATGTCGAGATGAAAACAAACAAAATTACTTTTATGACTTTATCTTGTTTATATTGTATTACTTTTAACCTTAAGTCAAATATTCAAATATGGAAGAATATCGATCTTGAAATGTCAGTCATAATTTTTATAAAGTTTAGAGCGTTCTTATGTAAGTTTCACGCTATCTTTCGTAGATCGCACGTTGTTGCGGCGCGAATAAATCTTTCCTTGCGAAAGGTAAGTTTAACGTCGCGATCTTCGCGAACGCGACATTTCGCGAGAAGCGTTTCTCAGACTTTACGACGCTGCGCTTTTTATTCGTGACTTACGGCTCGGCGTACAAGTTGATTCATTTATGAAGGCGCGAGGCACTTTCCTGGAGACGTCTGGGCGTGCTCGTCTGCAACGGTCAGGAAATCGATTTCTTCAGGAGAATCTTAAATATCATTTCTTTACTTGCGCATTATGGCGGTAGCTTGCTTCAGTAAAATCCTAGAGGGTAAATGAAATGAGGCGGAATAAAAATTGCATCGAGAGATGTAAGAGGTTTTCTCGGTGAAAATATCCGCAAATCATATTTTCTCGTTGTGCTTCTTTAATAGGCTTCTTTAATATGCTTCTGAATGGATTTGCGATAGGAATTTTTAAATATTAATTACAGACACAGGTGGAAAAAGAATTTTTTCAGTCATGATTAAAACATCATCTTAAGAAAAAAGGAATTTCAGAAACGACGAATCACGTAACGATTTCTGCGATTTTTAACTATCGATCAAAAATTCGACGTAGTCGTTGT